CGTATTTCTGTTTGTCTGTATGTGCAGTATTGCTAAACCTCAGCTCATGGGCCTTGCTTATTTCCTCAGATCAAAAAGAGGAAAAGAGTGTCAGTGTTGTGGTTTCATTGCTTAACTGTGAATATAATCACTGTTTAAAGGTCAAAAGCAAATAAAGATGTTTAAAAGAAATGGGTGAAGAAAAATCAGTTTGTGTAAAATACATGTGCCAGTCTCTCAGAAATGTAGGGGTCAAGGTTTATCTGGTTGCTTTTTCTTCCACAGGAAGCTCAGAGCGTCTCTTGGGCATCTACCACAGCTCTACTGTGAAGAACACCAACACTCTGCTGCTCAGCACTGATGCTGACACACTGTTTGTTGGTGCTCAGGATGCTCTGCTCTCTCTGGATGTCAGTCAGTCTGATAGTATTACACTCAAAGACAAGGTGAGAAAGATTGTGTAACCCTTCAGGAATATTGTGCTATATATTTCAGATTACACTCTCTAAACTTCTGTCATGAAGATCACCCTAGACTTGGAGGGGAAATTACATAATTAAAAATGTTACACTTTTTTACAGTTGGAATGGGCAGCATCTCCACAAAATATGAAAACCTGTACAGTGGCCTCAAGGACGGTATGTAGGCTACCATTCCTAACATTCACTTTAAATTTCCTTTACTAAATGTAAATGTCAATGTCAATGGCAAATTTCCAAGCTGATAAAAAGGAGAAATATATACTGTGTATATATATATATGTATATATATATATATATTAGTGCTGTCACTAATTATTAAGGATTAATTAATAATTAATCGCATCCAAAATAAAAGTTTTTGTTTACATAGTATGTGTGTGTACTGTGTACTATTATTTTATTTATATAAATACACATCCATGCATGTATATGTCTAAGAAAATATGTTAAGAAAATTTATATATATATATATATATATATATATATATGTATATATATATATATATATATATATAAGAAATGTTTTTTGAGCACCAAATCAGTATATTAGAATGATTTCTGAATTATCGTGTGATGCTGAAAACTGGAGTAATGATGCTGAAAATTCAACTTTGCCATTACAGGAAT